ATAACAGTGTCCTTATCTAGTTTCTCTGCTCTGTGGAAAGTATTCAAGAATGCAACCAATCTATTCTGATAATTATCAACACATTTTCCAATCTGGGCAATAATGACGAATTAAAGGGAAGGAAAAAAAACAGGGACCGAGCAGTCGGGCTGTGGACTTTGTCTCCTAAATGATAGTGACAGAAGCCATTTGGGTCCTTTAACAACACTTTAAGTAACTCCACTCTATTTATACTGTTATAATACTGGGAAAGAAAAAGGTTGGGGTAAAAGGCAGTCTGCTGACGGGAGGCAGAGAGGAGGCTAACAGAGAAGGCAACATTTATCAGCAGATTTATAGGCAGCAAGAAATGGCAATCATCCAGTAACTGCGCCAAAGATATGGTTTTCAGTCCAAGATCGCAGGAAATTAAGGTTACGTATGAAGTGATGTCTGGGTCTGTTAGATCCTAAAGTTACCTAACAGCTATATAGTGTACTGTTTTTTTTTTCCTTTCCCAGATTACTTCATATTCAGAAAACTGTATTGATACCAGATGGCAATTAATGGGATTGTATGTATTATGCACTCTTAGTGGTCTAATAAATAAATTAGATTCACAGTCCAACTTTTGCTGCCTGTATATTCCTGCCTGTGACACATGTAGCTCCTAAGCTCTGATTGCGGATACATACCAAATGCTGGGATTTAGCTAGAAACGGTACAAACGGTGTATTACATATGACTCATTTTGTTTTGTGCCTGCTTTCATTAAAACATGTGTAGCTATTTTTGCCAGACAAGCTAAATTTCACCTTACAAAGTGGCAACCCATTTGACCTTGTTGCTGTGCAGTGCACTGTCCCAATCCAAATAAGGGACTCATTTTTCTCTCTGATTGAATAATATACTTGAAATTTGTAAACATAGATTTCATTATGTCCAATGTGTTTTTAATTCATAATAAGTCTTTTTGACTAACCTCATCGACAATATGGAACATCATCTAATCATGCAATAGTTAAGGAGAATTATGAGATTAATATATTAAGTAAATTGATTAAGTTAAAATACCAAACAAAGGTGAACTGGTATAGTAAATTAAATAAAAAAAAAAAAATGACACCCAAGGAAGCTATGTAAAGTCTACATAGTGTCCAATTTGTCAGCTCACTCTCTCTATCTCAAGTTTGACGTCTTTTGGTCTTCTGAATTTGGGAAAAGCTCACTAGTTTAAAAGATTATGTTTCCACAATACAGGGTAGGACAGGTCACAAAAATGGCCTCAGCATTATCAGAGCCTCAGACAGTTTGGAGTCAGCTCTGTCAAGGGCCCCAGGTCCTGGGCAGAGGCCGTCACAGACAAAGGTTAGCGTCATCGCAAACCGTGCAGAGAGGAAGCTATTGCCTGCAGTTGTGCCATTGATTTTAAATAATGGATTTTTTTTCAAAGGAGCAATTTATTAAGTTAAATATATACATTGTTATATTATTAAACATGTGTAACTTGTGCTCCAGGTTTAAGGAGCACATGATATAAAATGTACAACCTTTTCTCATTTCATTATAATTTTAAGTTAGAATGTTACATAGCTGTTTTGGACTCTGAATAACATGATCATCTAGTATATACCACCTTTCAGAGACCAGAGTGAACATGGCGGTTTACAATTGTTATATTTGGGCATTTGTCCTCTCACTCCACACAGATGGGAGCGGGATCGCCAGTACAGGAGGCGCATGCCAGACCTATTGTACATGTATTTAGTGGTAGGGGAAACCGGAGTACCTGGAGGAAACCTACGCAGACCCGGGGAGAACATGCAAACTCCACTCAGAAAGGCCCTGGTTCGAGAGTGCTATCCACTCAGCCACTGTGACACATGTAGCTCCTAAGGTCAGGTACTATTAGCTTTCATACACAAATAACTCACATATACATTATACAGAACTCAGGAGTGACTAATGTCTCTCTTGAGAGCCAAAAGACAAAACATAAAAATGTAAACAGTTTCGTGGCACTTTGCAGCTGTACTAAGCAGGCTGGTATAAAAGTGAACAAATATGGATGAACTGAATCTCTTGTCGATTCCTTACAGGTAAATTAAAGATAACTAGATACATATTATATTCCAAGTTAATACAATTTTAGCAGTGTGTTTTGCTGCTCCTCTGAGTCCAAGGCTTTGGGTAAGTCATGGAAAGTTTTTTCAGTGATTGTTGTTATTTTGCATTAATGGGTTTTCTGTGCGTAGGGAGACTAATTAGCTTATCGTTGAAAGGGAGGTAAAAAGTGCTCCCAGTAGGAAGCTCAGCATGTTAAATCAATGAGGATTTGTGCAGCTGCTTCACAAATGGCCCACGATGGTCTGAGCTAATGCAGAACTGACTGATGGATGTTGATGGATTCGCTCAAACTGTGCTACTCCCAGTGCCCAATTTAACAGTGTTAGGGCCTTTGGATGATTATTAATTGGGATTAGCCTCAATATAGAAAAATAATGATAGTGACAGTTTTAGAGCTAACAAATCAATCATTTTAGCTGAATCCATGGTCATGAAGTTGTTTCTTCTGTATTTATGAGTTTGTTAGTGTGCCTTGAGATGTTGTTTGGTGTTAAAAAAATTAGTTGAGTGAAAAAATTAGAAAGACGTTTTTGTATTAGTTTCAGCTGGTGGTGGGCCATGTGATTTAAATTTAAAAAGGTTGGAGAACAATGGTCTTTCTCACATTATATTTACATTGTCACATATTTAGTTTTCATATACATTGGAATTCAAAGTTTGAAATATGTATTTGGTCTGGGTCCGTGTACCTTCCGTTCATTCTATTTTCGTTTCTGACTACCCAAATGAAGAAAAACAATCTGAGCTTTTCCAGTTTTCTGATATGTGAAGCATATATTAAAACAATTACGAAATTGACATTTTCCATTGGCCGTAATAGTGGATTTTGCATTGTTTTATAGACAGAACTTTGTGTAAACGTTGCAATATTCAAAATACAATATCTGTAAATACAAAATACAAAAAATCATGAATGTTTTAAAATCCATTATATTTCTCCATACTGCCCAGGTAGTCCCTCTGATGCATTCTGCATTCACAAACAAAAACTCAAGGCCAGCGAGTGCACCACATCCAAATCTTATGCCACTTAATCCTGGATCTTTCATGACCAGCACCAAGGAATTTTACTGCAAGGCAGGGTTTTACCTGCTACAGTTCCCTCACTGTGGTGCTTTCCTCCAGACCAGCCATTCCCAAACTCAGTAACACCGAGGCCCCCTTAAAAATCTGACGGGTCTGCGTGGCCCCCCAAAATAATAACCAAGAAGAAAACATTAAGAATAGGCTCTTCTGGTTATTTTATTTTGGGGAAATAGCCTCTGCTACAAACATTGTAATACAAAAATGATTACAGTGGATTATTCAAGTCAAATAATGAACACAAATATTTTAATATTACAAACAAAACATTATAAATTTAACATTAAATAATTATATTATTATTATTTTTTTTTGTGTAATATCAATTTATTTTGGGGCCATCCAGTCCATTTCAAGGGCAGGGGGGGTGGCAGTCAGAGCTGCACCCAGTACACAGAGCACCAGCCCCTCACTGATCCTCCTGCAGGTGATGAGTCCAGGGGAGCCTTGATCTTTCAGCGAGGGCTTCAGGCAAAGTGTGTAGCCCAAGGATACAACGACAGCAGTCATCAGTGGGAGTTGTGAAGTAGGTCTCGTGGTGGGCTCAAACCCACAACCTCCAGGCCCAAAGGTCAATGCCAACTAAGCCACTGTCGCCCCCGGTGGAATGGATGGAATGGATGGATGAATTCAACAATGAAAATAAGAAAAAGTCTTAGAATTTGTTTTTCGATGTGCACATCAGAAACAAAAATATAATGAACGAAAGGTAGACGAACCGGTCTGTTTCTATTATCTTAATTGGTTTTCCTTTCAATTTTTTTCTTTCCAATGATTTATGTTGTTGTTTTTGTTATGATATAGTTCACTGGAATAATTGTGCTTTCGGGTTATTTTGTTTTGTCTGATACTGCCTTTTCAGAAGCAGTATTCTTCAAAAAAATCACTGCGTTACTGGCCTGTTACTGCATTTTGGATTAACCTGCACAAATCCCTTACAATATGGGCACAGTGGGATCAAAAATATCTCTTAACTTTTGCATTAGCTAAAAACCTCACACTGAAAATGTAGACGTCAAGGTGACACTTTTTTGGGAAGATTTGATCCCTCTTGGCGAAGCAATTCTTGTGCCAAAATGTCCACTAGACAAGTGGATATAAGTGATATTCAATATGTGTAATAAATAGATTGCCATAGCACTCTGCTGGTTCAATAGAAAAACAGTTAAGCTGTAAGCGGGCAGTGGTTCTAAGCAGCAGTTTAAGCAGTTATTAAGCTAAAGTTGAATATTGTTATATAACCATTTGGCCAGTATGCACAAATGCTGACTGCAACATGTTATGTAAAAAGTCTGTAAATCTGCCAGGATCACTAATGTAATTATTGAAGATAATTTTTCTCTTCTCTTTTAGATGGGGTTTACAAACTAGTTCAGACAAAGTACAGTATGTGGCAGTATTGCGGTCATGACAATGGAAGCATACAAAAAGAGAAATACATTTTATTTCACTTTTATTTAGTACAATGTAGTTATTTCATTCAAAATGGTTGTTTAAAATTTACATTTTGAAAAACAGACCAATCAGAACTAAGGAGCATATTCTTTTGATATCCCAATAAAGAGTCGTATCGGCAATGTGTTTTTGATGGTTTTAGCACCAGATATTATTGTTATAGTTTTTTATCACCAGGATAACATTTTGCTAGTTCTTGTTCTCTATCTAGGAGCTGTAGTTCAGCCTTTATTAGATTTTAAAATCTGACAACAAACATGACCATAAAATGACGACATTCATTGTTTGAAGTTATCAAGTGTTGACAATAAAAAAAACAGTAACTGTGGCCGGCTCACTTTCTGCCTTTTGTCCAGGTACTCGTTCCAGGACGAGGAAGACATGTTCATGGTGGTGGATCTGCTTTTGGGAGGAGACCTGAGGTACCACCTGCAGCAGAACGTGCACTTCTCAGAGAGCACTGTCAAACTGTACGTGTGTGAGCTCGCGCTGGCCCTGGGATACCTGCGCTCCAAGAGGATCATACACAGGTTGGACTTTTTTCACTTACTGCATCTACAGTAGGTCCCATTTCGTTTTGTCGCCTTTCACGCGTCAATAGCACGACGCTCACGCGCGAATCACGTGTCTTTTCTTCCCCCCCCCCAGTGACGCTGCAATGACCAAAACAACCACCAGGTGGCACTTGTGAGCAGGGTTACATTGGCGTCTCATCGCTCTTTCTTCTCTCTTCACCGGACAACTACAGTATCTGTGGCTTTAAGCCTAGCGTACTGTACATCGGACTTATATCCGTCGCCTATGAGTTTCTGCCCCGCGCACATCGACAATCTGGTTAAAACGGGCAACTCCTTGTAGCAAGCCAGTCTCTGGAATAACCCGCAGACATTAAAACTACTGCATATAACGTAAACTTTTGCATCACGTTGGTGATCTTTCCAAAAAGAGAGAATATCGTTATGGAAAGAGAAACTATTGGTAATATAACGCTGACCGTTATCTGACTCAAACAGCTCCGCTGGTGTCTCCTCCCACTCAGAAAAAAAGCAGACGCCTTTTCTCTGGCATCTCTAACATTTATAATAAATACATAAATATAACAATCATAATGAAGATGCTTTCAAATAATTTAGCAAGCTGTAATTCATTTATTTTAACTCCCTGCCAAACTTCTCTCGCTGCTCTCTCCTCCGCAAACCACTAAATGAGGAAAAGGGAATATTCACTCAATCTATTTTGAATGTTACACATACAATAGTAATATAGTCTAAGCACGTGGAACACCTGTAGCCCGTGTATTTACCACAGACTGTAAGTATTAAAGTAATGAGGCCCCTGCTTTAGGCCTCTGCTGTGAGGCCCACACCGTCATCAGTCTCGGTGCCTCTGTGTAGATTACACGTCTGTCCTCGGGCTGGAACATATATAATATTATATAGGGATCAGGAGCTTTCTGACCCGACCCACCCGCACCTGACATGACTCATATTTTTGAGGCATCCAACCCGCCCGAAACTGCGGGACCCGCGGGTTGACTGCGGGTTTTGGGCCGACCCGCGCATCTCGCATGTCCTGTTCAGGGCTGCAGGAGCAATTGTCCATTATTTTAATTGGACTTCTGGTCCATGCACACTGTAAAAAAGAAAAAGTTAGTTCAACTCAAAATTTCAAAGCAACCAGCTGCGAAGGATTTTTGAGTTGAAGGCATTAACTTAATTCTTCAAGTTTTGAAGAACTACACTTATTAAGTTGTGTCAGTTAAGTTTTCCAAGTTCTGCCAACTAAGTGTTTAAATTCAAGTTACTGGAAATTTCATGTTAAAGCTGCGTAGGAACTGAACTGTATTGAACTAGATTGACCACAGGAATGTCGAAAATCCAGTTCTTCCTCACATATGCAAAACATCTTATCTCGTGATTGGGACGGGACCGGGGAAAAAACACAGGGAGTGGGCGGTAGGGGGAGGGAGGTGTGTGTAAAAATCAAGTCAGTGAGCTCATCAGGACTCTGCGTAAGAAAGGCTGGACGACTAGCACTATCGCCAAACACTTGGCCACAACTGTTTGGCTGACAATGCTCTCAAAACATTCACAACAGAGTATCCTTTTTCATTTTATTTTTAAGAAAGTTCAGCGTGAACTTCTTGAGGTGGCCCGTAGGTCCCAGGCCAGGCTCGCCTCGCACATCTTAAAGCTGCTTTCAATATCTTTTCAAATCAGTTTTCCTTTTCTCCATAGCATGTCTGTAACAAAAGTTCTCATAATCTGAAGTCAGCGTATTTACATGGTTTTATGAAACAGAATTCTGAGAAAAACAGGTTTAAAGATCGACATTCTAAACATAATCATCACAGTCATATAACATGTAAAATTTGAATTACTCTGTTATGGCACACTTGTTTTAGTCACTATGTTGTAGAAGATTAAAAAGATGTTACTTTGGCACCAATTAAACACACAACACTCATGAATTAGTCGAAAATCAAGAATGTATTGATTCTTTCAATATTTAATGGATTGAATTTTGACCTCCTCTTCTTTTTCTTTCTCTTTATAATTTACTGAAAATTATATATGTATTAGACATTGCCAGTATTATTCTATCAAATCACGCAGTCTAAATATCCACAACCACCAAGCATTTTTAATGCAAGGAGAAACTTAGGTAACTTTAAACACAAATAAAACAAATGGACCTGTCCGACTCGAGTGTCTATGCTTCGTGTGTCTCTGGTTCTGTCCAGGTGTCTATGATCCGCGTGTCTCGCGTGTCTCCGCCTGTCTGGGTTCTGTCTGCGTATATGTAAATGTAAATGTCTGTCTGTGGTTCTGTTCGGGTGTCTATGGTCCTGTCTGTGGTTCTGTTCGCGTGTCTATGGTCCGCGCTCGGAGCCCAGACTGCAGTGCGTTCACTGAGCTGTCAGAGCGGGGGTCACAACAGCTGCTCCCGGGGCCAGAGCGGAGGATGTTTATGTTATATTTAACGTATAACACTAGTGAATTTCACCTAGATTTTTTCAGACATTAAAGACAAGATGTTATATAATAATTGTTTAATGAAAAAACAATTTTGCCAAAAAAATGACAATCGACCTATTTTTACTGTTTACTCGGAACATGCCAGCGTGACATCCGACGGGTTTTCCCAGATCCCATCACATATATACGTTAATGCAATTTAATTATAAAGATTAACATTAGTACAAAATATGTATATGTTGTCTGTTATGCTCTTACTTTGAAAAAGCATTCAAAAGCAACACATATACATTCACATGCACGGCTTGAACACACAGCCAATTTTACACATTTCCTTTTGACAAGGAAAGAAGATAACAATCTGATAACGTTACGTAATTGCACACAAGCAACCAAAAGATGTGCAACCAAAATTGCCTCAGACAAGAATCGAACCTGGGTTCTCCAGGTCCCAGTCTTCAATGCTAACCATTCGGCCAACATAGAATCTCTGGGCTAGACTGGTTTGCACGCAGTATCATACCTGAGCGTCTAAGTCGCTGGCAGAGCTAAAGCGGACTTAACCTGCCACCTTTTGGCGATAAGATGTAATATTTTTCACGCAGCTGCGTGATTCCCGAAAAGCGCGAATGAAGACGACAAAACGAAATGGGACCTACTGTATATCCATTTCAGTTCCTGCTTTGACAATCAGCTTTAGCAATGCTCAGTGGATCACGCTGCAGAATAAATCTTCTGCTGCATTGTCTGTAAGTGGCAGGTGTTTGACGTCGCTGGTGGAGAGGTTAAAGTGCACTTTATTGTTCGCGCTGGGAGATTCTTCATGCATCCCTAAATGTCACTAGGGCAGCCTATCAGGAGCAGAACGGAATCCCAGGACCCATTTTCAGTTGTTGAGTCTCAGCTTGAGTGCTAACCAGCTGAGACTGGTTGTACAGTGTACTACGGTGTACTAAATCAGTACTATTTTAGTCCATGATCAATAATTGTTGAAATCAGCATTGATTATTGAGTATAGTTTTAGTATTAATTCAAGGTATTGTTTAATTGACTACATACTGGCTGTACTTTCCCAGAGGCCTGTTCTAATAGTTGCAGGAGGCGAGCAATAATCCCAAAGTCATTTCATTGTACATGAAAGCTGAAAGCAACACGCAACATTTGGGCACAAACAGTGAAGCTGTAAGAGGAACTGTGACTGTCAGCTGTTTCTGCATCTGCTGCATTTTGTTTTCACTGCAGAAGTGCATTGAGCTCGTCGGCCATGGGGATGTGGCCAAATTATAGCAGGAGCAGTGAGAGTGTGCATCGGCATTTGCATTGTGGAGCACGTGCTGTGTTCACTTCCTGCAATAATATAGAGTGATGCGTGCTCAGGATATACGGGGCTAATTTTGTAATACGGGACAAGAGCCTGACATCCCGGGAATGTTCCGACTCCCGGCATGATTGGGATGTCTGGTCGCCCTTGGTTAATGCTTCTATGAAAAATATCCCATGTAGATGAGCAGACTCCAAAACCCCTTCAGAAATTGTATACATCATTCTCCTTTTAACTTTGATGCTTTTTTTATTGACCTAGATTTTCTTCTGTTTGGTTCTGTAAAGTATTTGTTTATGGCATCACTTTTTATTTCGGAGGCCTCTTTGACTGCTGTCCACTTGAATAATATTTTAAACTGTGCTGCTCCCACTTTTCCCAAGGGGGTCATGCCTCTGGAGGTGAAGGTCGCTCCTGACACATGGCTTTATTCTGTCGTCATCAGGAAATGCACTCTTTCTGTCTATGCTGCGATGTAGATGCCTTGTTCAATTTGTGAAAAGCAGGTGGAGTGCGTTTTAAGCAGAAAATTGTGCAAAGTCAATGAGTGCTGCAGCCAAATAATGTGGCTAAGGACCAGGGTTATTATTTTTGCGTTGTTGTTTTTAATCCATTTAAGATAATTAGACTCCTTTGAGACATCTACGGTAATGTCCCAAGTACATCTAATTGAGAATTGCCAGTAAAAATGTGCTGATACAACACATCATGATATTGTAGCAAGTTTATTGGCTGGATGTACTGTAGTGTAGTGCTGCGGTTCCAAGAGTCCTGAGCACTGCGGCTTCCCTTACCACTCAAAAGATCCGTTGGGGTCCCCCAATATCAAATATCACTGTACATTGAAGAAAATGTCATGGTGTTCCTTTAGATTGTTGAGTTCTCCAATTTAGACCAACACAATTAAAGTTGTAAAACATTGTCATTATGTAATATGGTCAAATATATAGAGATAAGCAGGCCCTCCTTTGGACCCACCACCCACAGAGGGATCCGTGGCGGTCCGGTGCTGAGCGGACTGGGCAGCAGCCGAAGGCGGAGACCTCAGCGACCAAGTCCACACACACAACATCTGAAGAGAGGGGCGGAGCTGCCAACTGATCACCACCTGGTTTTGAGTTGGATCTGCTGGCAGGGGAGGAAGCCGGTCAGACCTGGCATACCCAACATGTGCTTTGTGGTTTTGGAGAAGGCGTTCGACCGTGTTCCCCGGGGTATCCTTTGGGGGGTT